GCAGTGCAAGGGAAGCTTCTTGTAAAGGCTGTCCCCATTTCAGAACTTCTTCTGGTAGCCACAGGCCTTCAGAAGCTCAATATATTTTGCCGCCTGAGGCAAAGGACAAGATGACACACCCACCCCTCATAGGCGCCGACTCCATGGGGCTTGAGGGGGCTGGAGCCCCCTCAAAAAAATTTTTGGGGGGGCTCAGCCCCCCCAATAATCTCGGGCGGGCGCCCTTCCAGCAGAGCGCCGCCGCCGTCCCCCGCCTCCTCCCCACCTGCTCCTTCGCCAGCCAGCCAGCCGCGCGCCCTAATCGGAGAGCCCCGGCCGGAAATCCCGCGAGAACAGGGGAATCCCGACTGGCCACAACCTCCCAGCCAGCCAATCGGCTGGCTGGGGGGGCGTGGCTTGCCCTATTTAGGGCCGGAGCCACTTTATTTGCATATTCATGAGCTTATTTATTATTCATGAGCTTTCCCGGGCCCCCCCAATATTTTTTCTAAGTCCGCGTCCCTGCCACCCCTACTCTTCACAATTCCATGTATGAAAGCTGACCAGAAGGACAGCTGGGTTTTTCTTCCACACAGGCAATGAGACAGTGGCCTTCACTGAAACCGAAAGCCACAGGCTGGTTTAGGGGGCACATACCAGATCTCATGGTTTACATAGCACCTGCCGCCCGAAATGGCTGTCTCGCTCTGCCTAATAGTAGGACCAGCCCTACTGCAGGCAGCCTGAGGGCAGGTCTCCAATAAACCATAGATTCCCCAAACAATTCTCTCAGAACATGGGCACAAGACGCCCTTAACAGAGTACTGCTACCACATAAAGGTAAAGGTAAAGGACCCCTAGACGGTTAAGTCCAGTCAAAGGCGACTATGGGGTTGTGGCGCTCATCTCACTTTCAAGCCGAGGGAGCTGGCGTTTGTCCACAGACAGCTTTCCGGGTCCTGTGGCCAGCATGGCTAAACCACTTCTGGCGCAACGGATCACCATGATGGAAACCAGAGCCATTCACCTTCCCGCCGCAGCGGTACCTATTTATCTACTTGCACTGGTGTGCTTTCGAATTGCTAGATTGTCAGCAGCTGGAACAGAGCAACAGGAGCTCACCCCATCATGGGGATTCGAACTGCTAACCTTCTGATCGGCAAGCCCAAGAGGCTCGGTGGTTTAGACCACATCGCCACCCGCATCCCTACTGCTATCCCGTTGCACCTTTGAACCACAACTTTTGGATACATCCAGAGCTGGCCAAAGGCCAAGGACAAAATGGTGTCCCTCCTGTTCCACGAACATAAACTGATTAGACTGGCAGTTAAATCTCACTACAACACTGGCAATGGGATTGTATCCTCCGTTGCACCTGAGGGCAGCAGGCTAGCTTACAGGGGTCTTGGTTGGTCAAGTGGCACATACACAGCTCTGATCTCCAACAGGGGGATGGAGAAGGGGGTGGCTGAAGAGGCACAACAGGGTTCTGTCACTGCCACCCTCCAATATTTGCTGCTGGAGGCGATTGTCCTACTTTGCCTAATGGCAGGGCTGGCTCTGGGTACAATACATTTCCACTCATTGTCTGTGTACTGTCTTTGGCTCCTGTCCCAGCAGCAATATTTATAAAAGGACATACACTTAATGAAGGAGGAAGTTAAAGGGCAGGCTTTCCCCCTATCCATGCAGTCATAAGGTTTGTCTTGCTGGATTAGACCAGGTCTGTAGCACTGGCTGGGAGTGCAGGTTTGAAACTGGAAGGGGTAATTTTTCTGGATTTGCTCATGGAGAGCGCAACATTGCACATAGCACAAAGTTAAAGTCACCTAGTGATATCCTTGCTCCGCTGGCTAAGTGCCGGCAGAACATTGTTGCGCAGCAGAAGGCTTAAGCAGGACGCTAGCAACTTTCTCGCGCAACAGATTTTGCCATCTGTTGCGCAATGGGTTTCTGCTAGGGCAACTGTATTACGCTGGATTCCTCCGTTGTGCAACATTAAAACTCCCTGGTTGGATAGTGCAAAGAGCCTTTGCACCAGTAGACAGAGAACGCTGGATACAGCCCTCAGTTTCAAGATCTGTAAAATAGGAATAATAGTGGCATGCTATTAAAATAATAAATGAGAAGAGGAAATGATGCTCACCATCTCAGCGTTTGGGTGAGAGGGTGGGCTATAAGTCTCTGTTAAAAATGGAAAGCTGTATCTCTGCCGATGCAGTGGGCAGCTTAGTTCCTGAAAGGCAGTGCTTAGGACACCACATGGTTGTATTAAAGTGCTGCAGCAGATTGCAAAACACCCACCCTAGCTGCCTGCTTTTTTGTTGTTTTTTGTTTTAAAAGAAAGAATCCCCTCCAAAATCTGCTTTACAGATAGAATTTATTCATTTCTAGCAGCTGGAAGTGCAAAGAGACAGGGCTGCACAAGATCAGGATGAAAACCACTGTGATTTCTACCTGCTCTTTCATGACTAGGGACAGAGAAGAAATCCGACTTGGTCCACATTTTAAGGGAAACCTACCTAATTCATACTTCTGGAAACAATTTGTGAATCGAAACACAGCTGCCCTTTGAAATTTACACTTCTCTGAATTTTGCAAAGTAGTTCTCTAACCAAATGATGTATGCAAAATAATAATAATAATAATAATAATAACAACAACAACAACCCCACCCAGCATACATTGGAGGGAAGTGTGCATTGATATGCATGTACAGTATTTGTGAAAATAACAAATGCATTATAGTTCAGAAATTGTCTTGCAAAATGTGTGCATTAGGAGAAATGTGTACTGAAATGCTGATAAATTTTCATGAACACTTTTGAAAACAAAGAAACTCACAAACTGCTGCAGAAATGTGGTGGATTAAACTTGGAAAAAAGAGAAATGGGGAGAAAACAAAATTGAGTAATCTCTTTCTCCCCTTTCCAAGAACTGGGCTCTCTTAAAAGGCATCACAACTAACCACCCTGATCTGGAATAAAACACAGCATTATAAGATGCCTTGACATAGACATCCTCACTCTTTGGCTCACGTATCACTACCTTATCTTTCTATATAAATAAAAATGTAAGGCTGTCGTCATGCTGCAGTTTGCATGGCTGCTAATAGGTGGCCGCACCAACTCCAGCGTGATGAATGGCAGGCAGGCGAGCACTGTTAGAAGGTGACCTCCTGTTTAACAGAGGGGAGAGAGGAGCTTCACACACTGATTAAGCAAGTTAGCAGGGTTTGGCGAGTTGAGTGAGTGAGGGCAGCAGCCCCTGGTAACTATACTCAAAGCCAAAGACTTTGGTGGCCTTTGTCACAGGGGATACACTTCATGGGAAAGATGAACCAAGCTACCCATAAAAAAAGCATAGTAATGGATGTTATTGCTGCTACAGATGGCAATGAGCTCGGCACCCCTGCCCCTTCCTTTCCCATGAGGAACACAGACAAGGTGGAAGAGCTACAGGTTGGGGCATTCTCTTGACAAGGGACTACCCTCTTCCCAAGTGCAAGAGCTAGTGTAGGAAGAATCGGAGCCCAAAATGGTTCTTTGTCATCCCAGTGGCTCATCGCCACCAAAGGCTCAGAGAAAGGCAAATGGATCCTTGAGTCTGCCAGTTTTTTTGGTAGTGCCTGCTACAGACAAACAACTTCTGCAAATGTAAGATTGCTAGAAAGGTAAACAGGCAGCAGGGACAGAGAGGGAACGGAAAAGAGAGGAAATAACAATTAGGTGATACGCTATTGATTGTCTCAATATTTAAGATTGTATTCCAGCAAAGGAATGGCAAAGAACCTCGGCTGCACCTTGGCTTCATCGTGCTATAGGTGGCAACCCAAGAAAGACTGGGGATATGCAAAAGTCCCAGACCAGCACTTTTCCCTCTATAGCAGCATAAAGATTATGGCTTTATCAGTGAGCTGAAAGTGGCATAACAGAGCTATCGTTGCTCATGGTGTGTAGTCCTTTATTTACCCCAGTTTTCTCTGGTCAAACAGGCCATCTGAGTTTATGTTGTGCTTCAGGAAAAAACCCTCTGAAACCTGCTTGACCAAAGACAACAAGGAAACAAGAGAGGAGTGCCCATGCCATGAGCATTGATGGTTCTATGGCACCAGTACTAATTCTCACTTGAGTCTGTCTCCAGCCAACCAGGGCACCAAAGTTTTGTGGGACCCAATCCTATGCATGCCTACTTAGAAGTAAGACCCAATCAGGTCCAACTAAGTAAAATTCTGCGCCAAGTAAAAGCTAGGATTCTGCAACCTGCATACCTGAATGCAAAACTGCTCCATTTGCATATTTGATCTCATGTTGCAGAATTCTTATTCTGCAGTTTTCATTATTCTGTATTGTTTATTCCTCTCTTGACAATCGCAGAGACGGTGGAAGAGCTATGCAGGGCACTGACAGCCCTTTCCCTCCCCCTTTATAACTGAGGTACATCAAGGGGTTGGATTCTGTAGCTAGCGCAACACTCCGTGCTCAAATGGAATCACAGCATAAACACAGCCCTGACTACCCTCTCCAGCCCAAGAGAGGCTGTGGGTGTTCTGACACGCTACTAAGAAATTTAAGCCTCGCCTCACCCTATGAACGAGGCCCTCTAATCCTGCAGAATCTTCTCGGAGCCGGTTACTCTGATCTCCCGTTCTAGGCCTGCCTGCGACTCTTGCAAAAATTGCTCACGGATTGTAATTTGGTTTTCTTGTAAAGAAAGAAGAAACGGAGATATTGGGATGGGGGAGGAGGAAAATACAAAAAATAATAATAATCCCCATTGCTACAGTTATGGCAAACATTTAAAGCCTTGTGCGACACACACACACACCCCTAGTAGAAGTCTTCCAGTTTCTTAATATTGATACACATGCTACAGTTATGTCCGCAAGCGAGCAAGTCAAAAAACGGCACAAAAATGGCAGCACTACAAAACTGTGCTTTGCAGAGGACGTGGTTGCCTGTAGCAAAACCCTCGTTTTGCCCCTCGCCCACCCCACCCCACCCCTGCGTCCCACCCCTCGTCTCCTTTTCCCAACCCCCCTGGGTCCTGCCCAAATTGATTCCAGCATTTCCCCATCCACCTTCCATTTCCCCTCCCAGTGGAGCAAAAACCAGGTTTCTTCCAACTGCTTTGCTAGGGAAGAGGTTGGGCATCCTAATGAGGGCAGGTTTCCCCTCCAGCTGATATTGCTCTGGGAAGAGAGTTTTGACACATTCCAGAATTTTACCCAAAGAAAAGGGGAGGGGGGAAAGGAAAGACCATTTTGCCAATGAAGAGAATGCCTGGAAATATTAAAACAGTTCCGAGATGTCTCATCAACTCTTCTCGACTGAGGTGACGTCAGCCACCAGTTACCCAACAACATCAACCCTCTCTGAGTCCATGATGCACAGATTTTCCCCGTGTCCTTTGGAAAGTAGGTTCGTGGGGCAGTCAATAGCATCCGCCAAAGGGCATCGGGGGTTTTGCCCAAGTCCCCTTTTTATCTTTCGGACTTCACCTTGTACTTCAGGGTGAGGTAAGCCATGAGCCTGAGGATGATGAAAAAAATCCCTAGGACGATGAAGTCAAGGTAGAGCTTAGCTTCCTCCACGTCCAATTCCTGGAGTATCTTTATCGGGTCCTTGAAAGGACAATCGGGCACCTTACATTCCAATTCTTCCCGCTCCAAGGAGTAGATAGTGAGGATCACACCTTCAAAGCCGTACCTGGATGCCAAGATACAAAACAGTGTTGTAAATATAATACCAATGCATATACAGAGATCCCTGAACGTTTAGGCTACTTCCAAATGAAAGCTAAAAAACCTGGGCTGTTTACAGGGTGGTATTCACTGCTGGTCCTACTCAGAGCAGACCGACTGAAGTTTATGGACACTGCTAACTTAGCTTCATTAATTTCAATGGGTCTACTCTGAGCAGGACTAAGCTGAAGGCAACCTGAAGATACTCCAATGACTTGCAAAAGTTGAGAATGGGACATATTTTTATACCCCTTTTTTCAAGAACTGCTGGTTGTAGCCAACCAAATCCTACTCAGAATAGACCCATTAAAACGAATAAGCCTAAATTAGCACTAACTTCAGGGGATCTACTCTGAGTAGGACTAGCATTTATAGGACCCCATGAGTCTTGTGTGACCTGGTGCATTAATGCTGCTCAAGAAACCTAGAAGGTATTTCATATGTTTCAGGAATTTCTAATGGTGGGTTGCTGTTGTTTTGTTAGTTTGTTAATCTGGATTAAAATATACTATTTTGAAATGTGTTTGATATTTTGCACTGGCTCCCGGTGGAGTACAGGGTCAGATTTAAGGTGCTGCTTTTGACCTTTAAAGCCCTTCACGGCCTAGGACCCTCGTACCTACGGGACCGCCTCTCCTGGTATGCCCCACGGAGAGCCTCAAGGTCCATAAATAACAACACCCTAGTGGTCCCAGGCCCTAAGGAAGCTAGATTGGCTTCAACCAGAGCCAGGGCCTATTCAACTCTGGCCCCGGCCTGGTGGAACGCTCTGCCTCATGAGACCAGGGCCCTGCAGGATCTGATTTCTTTCCGCAGGGCCTGTAAGACAGAGTTGTTCTGCCTGGCCTTTGGCTTGGAGTCAATTTGATTCCCTCCCTCCCTCTCTTTCTTTTTTCTTTTCCTTCTCCTCCTGCAATGAGGCTACATTTTAATATTTTAATGTTCCATTATTTTAATGTATTTTATTTTTGTTTTTAAGTTGTAATCATTCTTCTTGTTTTTATTATTGCTTGTAAGCTGCTCTGAGCCCGGCCTTGGCTGGGGAGGGCGGGGTATTAAAAAAATTATTATTATTATTATTATTATTATTATTATTATTATTATTATTATTACTATTACATTTTGCCCTAGTTCGCATGACATAGTAAGGCAAACCATGGTTTCCTGTTACTGCTCAAATGTGCCCTCCTTTGCTCCTCCCCAGTCCTTTTCACTGCCACACCAGGCTGAGCTAAAACCAAGGTTTTTGTATTTCCTTCATAGCCAAGAACAGCACGTTTCTTTAATAAAGTTTATGTTGGGTTGTAACAAAAAGCAACACCCCTTGAGGTGGCTTACAAAAAGTACACTGAAATGATCATCCTCTAACACTTAAAAGAGATGGGACGCGGGTGGCGCTGTGGGTTAAACCACAGAGCCTAGGACTTGCCGATCAGAAGGTCAGCGGTTCGAATCCCCATGATGGGGTGAGCTCCCGTTGCTCGGTCCCTGCTCCTGCCAACCTAGCAGTTCGAAAGCACGTCAAAGTGCCTTCTGGCGGGAAGGTAAACAGTGTTTCCGTGCGCTGCTCTAGTTCGCCAGAAGCAGCTTAGTCATGCTGGCCACATGACCCGGAAGCTGTACGCCGGCTCCCTCGGCAATAAAGCGAGATGAGCGCCGCAACCCCAGAGTCGGTCACGACTGGACCTAATGGTCAGGGGTCCCTTTACCTTTACCTAACACTTAAAAGCAAGAACTGAAAACCTGCAAAAAATAATTAAAGCCCAAGATCAGCTAAAAAGCAAATTAAAACACATGCCAACACTCTACATGTCTGAATAGGCTTGCCCAAACAAAAATGTTTTTAACAGGAGACAATAACAGTACAGGGAAGGCACCTGCCTGGTGTCAATAAGCAGGTTTGAGGCTGCCACACTGAAAGAAATGCGGAACGAGTATTATGCAGCACCTATAACATTGCCAGGACGCGGGTGGCGCTGTGGGTAAAACCTCAGCGCCTAGGACTTGCCGATCGCATGGTCGGCAGTTCGAATCCCCGCAGCGGGGTGCGCTCCCATTGCTCGGTCCCAGCGCCTGCCAACCTAGCAGTTCGAAAGCACTCCCGGGTGCAAGTAGGTAAATAGGGACTGCTTACTAGCGGGAAGGTAAACGGCGTTTCCGTGTGTGCTGCGCTGGCTCGCCAGAGCAGCTTTGTCATGCTGGCCACATGACTCGGAAGTGTCTGCGGACAGCGCTGGCTCTCGGCCTCTAGAGTGAGATGAGCGCACAACCCTAGAGTCTGCCAAGACTGGCCCGTACGGGCAGGGGTACCTTTACCTTTACTATAACATTGCCAGTTCTGCAGATACTGGTCCCAAGGTTTCAAGAGCTTTATATACCAAGAGTAACAGCTTGAACTTGGCCCAATAGCGAATGGGCAACTGGTACAAGTATCTGAGCAGAAGTTTCCCTCCTGTCAACAACCCTGGTGCAGCATTCTGCACTAGCTGGATTTTCCGGGTTATGTGCAAGAGATTAAGCCTCGGATTGAGCACATTGCAACAATCCCATCTTGAAGCAACCGATGCAAAAGCTACTGTGCATGGTGCACATCCCTGGCCAGATTGCATTGCAGAGCCTTGGAATGCAGCGAGGTGCACTTATGTGCGCTAGGAGCCCCACCTGACATAAGAGACATACGAACTCCACTGCAGGTAGGTAGGGATGGTCTTGAAACTCACAAAGAAGCCAGAAAAGAGGAGGACGGGGATGGCTGTGACGGGACCCACAAAGGTGGCCACCTGGAAGACAAAGGAGGGAAGGGAGAAAGAGGCACACAAGTTAAAGAGGACTTCCAGACAAGGTCTTTATGCCACCAAATTCAACAGCGTTTTGGTGCAACTGTCTCCCTGATATACCTACATAGTTTTGCATGCGGCTTTGACTAATATTTACACATTTTTGCCAAGCAATTTCTCCCCAATAGAATGCATTTTTGTTTGTTGTTTTCACTCCTATCGGTGGTTTCATGCACACTTTACCTTAGTATATGCATTTTTGCCCACAACGCTTGACTGTGATTCCTGCATTGCAGGAGATGGGACTAGATGACCCTTGGGCATAGCTGTCAACGTTTCCCTTTTTTTAAGGGAAATTCCCTTATTTCGAATAGGATTCCTCGCAAGAAAAGGGAAAAGTTGACAGCTATGCCCTTGGGTTCCATTCCAACTCTACAATTCTATGATTATATGGAGAACTGCATTGCAGGATGGCTGCGTTTCGATTCTCTTATGGTTTCAGAAAGTGTGAATTAAAGAGGTTCACCTTTAAATGAGAACAGAATTGAATTTCTCCACCATCCCTAAAATTGGCACTCACAAGCTCCATCTTTTAATCTTAATTCCCACCCCCCAGCCAGATATCCCATGCACTGTTATCTATTCAACAGCAGATGGCAGTTCAGCATGGAAACTTTCCATGCTGTGTATTCTAGTTCCAGCCCCATAACCACTACTTCCCTCCCCCCCCCTTTCCCATTGGGTAGGGCTGCCATATAGCTGCATTTTCCTGGGATTTCGTGTTCAGGAGGGACTTCCGAAAGGGAAAAAGCTCAACAACGTTTGGATTTTCCTAAAAAAAACCACTCAACAATTTTGGAGTCCTGGGTTTTACTTTTTGAAATATGGCAACTCTACATTTGGCGCATAGCTGTCAACTTTTCCCTTTTCTTGCGAGGAATCCTATTCGGAATAAGGGAATTTCCCTTAAAAAAAGGGAAACGTTGACAGCTATGATTTGGGGTATGTGTGCAGGTATTGGGGCACGTGTGCACATTCACCTTTTGAAAAATTAAACCAAAAATAAATCTCCATATGAAGAGCAGGAGAGCATCAAGACAAAGGTCACCAACTCCTAGTTATCTCTGCAAGAAGAGCCTGCAGGATCAGACCCATCTAACCCAGCATCCTGTTCTCACAGTGGCCACCCAGACGCTTGTGGGAAGCCTGCAAGCAGGAGTCCTGCACAAGAGCACTCTCCCCTCTTGCGGTTCCCAGAGGACAGCCATGGTGGTGTAGCCATAGATAGTCCTCTCCGCCATGCACTTGTCCAATCCACTTTCAAAGCTCCCCAAGCTGATGGCCATTACAGTCATACCTCATGTTATGTTTGCTTCATGATACGTTTTTTCAGGTTGCGTCCCGCGGCGACCCGGAAGTACCGGAAGGGGTTACTTCCGGGTTTCACCACTTGCGCAGACGCGCAAAATGATGTCACCCGCATGCACAGAAGCGGCGAATAGCAACCCGCGTGTGTGCAGACGTGCCACTGCGGGTTGCGTTCTACTCATGTTGTGAACGGACCTCTGGAACGGATCCCATTTGCAACCAGAGGTACCACTGTACTGCCATCACTGCAGGAGCAACTTGCATCATCGTTGTTGTTTTAAGAAAATAGTTGTTAAGTTTTCATTTTTCAACCAAACATTTATAATATATCTTTTCATCACCTATACAGTGGTGCCCCGTAAGACGAATGCCTCGCAAGACGGAAAACCCGCTAGACGAAAGGGTTTTCCGTTTTGGAGGTGCTTCGCAAAACGAATTTCCTATGGGCTTGCTTCGCAAGACGAAAATGTCTTGCGAGTTCCTGCAGGGTATTTTTCCTCCCCCCCCTTTTCCCAAGCCGCTAAGCCGCTTATCAGCTGATCCGCTAAGCCGCTTAACAGCTGATCGCTAAGCTGCTTATCAGCTGATCCGCTAAGTCGCTTATCAGCTGATCCGCTAAGCCGCTAAACAGCTGATCCACTAAGCCGCTTATCAGCTGATCCGCTAAGCCCGCTAAGCCGCTAATAGCACTAATCCACTAAGCCGCTAATGGGCTTGCTTCGCAAGACGAAAAAACCACAAGACGAAGAGACTCGCGGAACGGATTCTTTTCGTCTTGCGAGGCACCACTGTAATTCTACTCTTTCGAGCCTCAAACTCTCCTCCATCCCCCCAAACTGACTTTCTATCTTCTTTACATAATTTCCTGCATTTCTAATTCCCACTATCTACCTGCTTTCACTCCTTAAAATTCCTTCTCATTGTAGATAAGTTTCTATTTCTAAACTGCAAAAACCTTTAAATCAGTCCTGTTAGCGTCAGAGATTTACAATGTTGCTTCAAATACAAAATAAATTTACTCCAGTCTTTTTCAAACAGTTCGTCTCGCTGGTGGCAGATTTTCGCAAGTTGCATCGTTTAACTGAGCACTGCATGAAGTGTTAGAATTCCTGCTCCATGATTGCAGTCATGGGATTGTTGTCTTTCACATGACAGTATATGTTTTGACTCCACAAAGTGGGAAGTGACGGAGACAGGATGTTTGTGTTACTGTGTTCCGTGAAGTGGGACTATTGTCCTTTGTTATTTTTCTCTTTGCTGTCTGATGCTAGAGAGAGAGAGAGGGAGCCATGTTGCAATGCTCCATGTGTGTTTATATGTAAATAAAGTAGATTAGCCAAAATGCTGAGTTGCTGAGGTCTGTCACACACATGATGCGCAAACTCTGCAGATCCCTAAGTGTGCTGGTGTCGGTTGGCATCGATCGCTGTGATGTTCGGGCTGAAGAAAGCTTGTGAAGCTCCCAAACGATCGACCAGTAGGGAGAGAACATGCCAGTCGGGCATGTGTCTCTGCCAGGGTCCTACTCGAGTGTAGGCTGAACTCCTGACATGAAGAACTTCTTTGTTGGGTCTGAACCTTCCCACATTCAGCTTCCTTGGACGGCCATTGTTGGGAACAGGATGCTGCCTGGACAGATCTTGCTTGGATCCAGTGGGGGTAGCCTTTGTCCTCTTACAGGACTTCATCCCTGTGCTGAAAACCCAAAGCACCACCAGCCCCTTTCCTCCCTGGTCTTACTTGTAAGGAGGTGGATGCTGCTCCAATCATGAGCCCCAAGGACTGGGCCACCAGGGCGGTGGAAGTGGCCAGAGCAGAGAAGAGCAGAAATCGGGTGGCTTCCGGAGGCTGACCCGTCATCCAATACACAATACTGCAGTAAGTAATGGGGCATATTACCTGCAGGGGGCAGCAGGAAGCAGGTTAGAGCTACTTTGTAAGTTTGGGGTTTCTTTCCACCACCCAGGGCCGGCCCACCCATGAGGCACTGAGGCAGCTGCCTTGGTTGGGAGAATCTTGTGGAGCAGTGCTTCCGCAGGTGCCCCATCTGCCCCTTCCGGCGAGATCTTGCAGGACTCTTGCAAGATCTCACCGGAAGCCACTGACGTTTGTAGCCAAACAATTTAACCCCTGTGTTGCAAACAATAGTGATATCCAAGGCAACACAATGACCGAATACAATGATACAATGTCAATATACACTCTTTATATAATACAGTGGTGCCTCGCAAGACGAAATTAATTCGTTCCGCAAGTTTTTTCTTCTTGCGAGTTTTTCGTCTTGCGAAGCACGGTTTCCCATCGGAATGCATTGAAAATCAATTAATGTGTTCCTATGCCAGGCTGGCGGTGCGGAGAAGGGCTTTTCTCCCCACCGCAAGCCTTCAGGACAGGTACGGGAACAGAGGGGAAGGCGCGCAGCGGTGGGAGGAGGGTTTTCTGAATGTTGGCGGTGGGAAGGAAAACCCTCCTCCCACCGCAAGTCTTCAGGACAGCCATCCGAAGGCTGGCGCGGGGAGAAGGTCTCTCCGCCCCACCACCAGCCTTCGGAGGAGCCTTCCGAAGGCTGCCGGTGGGGCGGAGAGACCTCCTCCCGCCGCCAGCCTTCGGAGCAGCCTTCGGAGGAGGTCCGAGGACAGTGGGGAAGACGCGCTGCACTTCCCCACTGTCCCGGAGATTTCCCTATGGGCTTTCGTCTTGCGAAGGAAGCCCATAGGGAAATTCGTTTTGCGAAGCGCCTCCAAAATGGAAAACCCTTTCGTCTAGCGGGTTTTCCATCTTGCGAGGCGTTCGTCTTGCAGGGCACCACTGTATGAAATATATGAAATCACATAAACAGAAAACTAATGAATCTCTGAAAGTCACAAAATATGCACTCTTAATGGATTCTCTTGAAAATATAAAACCATATAAGACTTATGTTTATTTGGTTTTATATTTTCAAGAGAATCCATTAAGACTGCATATTAGGTGATGTTTGTAAGCAAGGTTTCAGAGGGAGTGGGGTGGGCAGCTTGTTGTTTCGCCTTGGGTTAGCCACCCCTGGTTTAAATGGCAGCTAGCTGGGGGAGGCAAAAGTCATTGGAAGCAGAAACAGGCACAGTCTAGAATCCCCTGTGGGAGGGAGCTGAACCTGTTGAACTTCTGTCTGCCACGCAGCAATTAGACTCTGGGTGGGTGGGAGATGAAGTCCAGCAACCTACAAGTTCCCCATTCTTGGATTAAAGGCACAGAGCTTCTGTTGAGGGCAGGAAATGTGGCATCCCTGGTTGAGAACACAGGCATAGGAGAATGACATGAGTTCAGAAGATGCTTACCTGAAAAGGAATATCCGCCATCGTTTTAGCTAGAAAATAAGCCTTCAGGCTGTACCAGTAGTTCAGATGCTCTCTCAGAAACACAGACATCTCTAGCGGGACTGGAGGGACAAGGAGACAGAGCAGAGCACAGCGTCACAATTGTGGGTTCAGTGTACTTCCCTACAGAAGGCCCCGGTGCCAGTGCCTGGGCAGCTCAGCTGCTAGGCTTGGAAAATAGTTCTCTCCCTGAGAACCCGGTGGTCTTGACCCAGGCACCCAAACTCAGGCTAGATCTAAGTGTCTGACTCTCCATGCCACTGTGGCAATTGCTCCTGGTTTGCTTGGAAGCCCCCTGTGTCTGGCCTAAAAATACAGAGGCACCAGTACAGCATGCAGATTCTGCAGCCTGGGGATGTGCCCATGGCGTAAGCAGCTGTCCCTCCAAACCGCCAGCCCAAGAAGGGAGGCTGTTTCTGGGCCAGAGCAGGGCTGGGGAAGAGGATCTGGCTGGGCTGTCAATCACCACGACAATAGGTGGCTTCACTTCAAAGCAAGGAATTGGGAGCACATTGAAAGACCTACTTCTTTCCTTTCTTCCTTTGCAGCCTGGCATGGGCTGAACTGGACTGCAGGGGAAGATCTCTTCCAAAAGCGGAGCCTGTGGGTGGGTGGGTGGGGGCGCTTGTGAACCCAACTCTGGCAGGGATGGGCTCCACTCAGGGGCTTCCAAGTGGAGCCACTCTTGGTAGAGCTTGGAGCTGATGCCAAACTTAAAAACCCCACTTGCTGAGGAAGAATCAAGAGTGTGCTTTAAGGCTTCTGATGGTTCCTTTGCAGCTGTGCCTCTACCTGCTCCACATCTGACATTATATATGATGTGCGGTTTGGGGCACATCAGTGTGGTTTGGGGGAAACTGCCTCACAGACCAAAGTGGGAACCCTGTCAGGCTGTATTAGACCCATGGGCTGGAGGTTCCCCAACTCTGAGCAAGAGGGAGTTACCGTATTTTTGGCTCTATAAGACTCACTTTTTCCCTCCTAAAAAGTAAGAGGAAACGTGTATGCGTCTTATGGAGCGAATGCAGGCTGCGCAGCTATCCCAGAAGCCAGAACAGCAAGAGGGATTGCTACTTCCACTGTGCAGCCATCCCTCTTGCTGTTCTGGCTTCTGAGATTCAGAATATTTTTTTTCTTGTTTTCCTCCTCCAAAAACTAGGTGCGTCTTGTGGTCTGGTGCGTCTTATAGAGCGAAAAATACAGTAGTTCTACAACAGTTGCTGACATCTTCCTTGGGGAAGGGATGTTGCTCAGTGGGAGAGCATGTGGTGCCAGACAGTGTGAATTAGACGGACCAACAGTCTGGCTCTCTAGTTTCTCTGCTTTTTAAGCTAGGAGTTTGGAAGCCACAGCAGAGGACGAGCTGCCAAGGAGGACTTGAGAGCTCCAGCCCTCCCCACACCCGTCTAAATCTGACCACCGCAATGCCATCATGTTGGGTATCGCTTCTCTTCCATCTGGGGACAGAGCGCTTACAAGTGAGGACCGTGGGCATCAGGGCAGCGAACATGAGGAAGAGCATGGAGAAGAAGAGGAAGCCGGTGTTGTTGAAGACCTTGGCGGCGTCATTGCCAATGTGCAGGTAGAGCAGTCCAATCAGCACACCGATGCAGATGTGAGACATGAACCGCAGGTGGGTTAGCACCTGTGTGCAAAGGGAGATGCGGCAAGTTTAGCACGACTGACCTCACCCTTCGTGCAAAGCCTATATAAACACCTGCAAGGTGCTTCACCATCTTAAAGCCATAATAATAATAATAATAATAATAATAATAATAATAATAATTTATTTGTACTCCGCCCATCTGGCTGGGTTTCCCCCGCCACTCTGGGCAGCTTCCAACAGAGATTAAAAATACATTAAAACATCAATCATTAAAAACTTCCCTAAACAGGGCTGCCTTCAGATGTCTTCTGAATGTCAGGTAGTTGTTTATCGTTTTGACATCTGATGGGAGGGCGTTCCACAGGGTGGGCGCCACTACCAAGAAGGCCCTCTGCCTGGTTCCCTGTAACTTGGCTTCTCGCGGTGAGGGAACCATCAGAAGGCCCTCGGCGCTGGACCTCAGTGTGCAGGCAGAATGATGGGGGTGGAGATGCTCCTTCAGGTATACTTCAGCCATGCTTGTCACTCCTTTTCCCATTTCACAGATGGATCACTGAGGCTGACTGATAGCAAGGTGGCCACACAAGAAGTCCATAGCAGTGGCAGGACTTGAGGCCAAGATGCTCATGATCAAACCATGACTTGGCTTCGCTGATGGACTTGGAGTGAGGCCCCTTCGTTTCCCAGCTGTTGTTGCCCCCTATCAGCACACATTGATGGGGGGAAAGAAGGAAGCAGAAAACTGGAGGGCAGTAGCAGGACACTTCCTTCTGCTCCTGATTGGCCAGAGGTAGTCACATGACAACCTCTCACCTGCCTATAAATACTACCTAGGTTGTCCTCTCCTCTTCAGTCTGAGCCACCAGAAGACTCCTGACCACTGTCTGTCGCACATCATTCCTGCTGAACCAGCTTCAGATTGCCTTGCCTGTTGCCCAGATTCCGTAGGACAGAACTGAAATACCCCATTTTTGTAGCAAAATATCACTCAAGTAAGGGGTAAGGAGAGCTTGGTATGTACATCATGAGTAGAGGTGGGGAAAAGAGTGCAACTCAACTGTTGCCTCTTTGAACTCTGTATTTCGTCTTTGATCTGGTCCTCAGATCAGCTTTAAGCTTAGTTCCTTGATTCTGTATTAAGGCTGGGTACATGCCATCTTTTTAAAGGGCATTCAAAGCACATTCTTTCCCTCAAAGAATTATGGGAATTATTTTTGCTTCCTATGTTTTAACGGGACATAATAAGGATATAAAGTTTAAGGACTTAACTTCACATTTGCTAATTGCTGCTAGACAAACCATGGTGGGGGAAAAAAAAAGACAACCTGAACTTACAGCATGATATAGAACGATTTGTGCTTTGGCAATAATTCCATGTAGAACCCAGTTTATGCAAGGAAAAGAAAAACCGCAATCTTTTTATGCCACCTGGCAGAACTGAATTACATACGCAACCAGCAAATACTTACAAAAATATGCAACCACTGCAGTTATGAACATTTGGCAACATTAATGTATGTAACATGAACTCGGGAACTTTTTATTCTTTGAGGAGGTCGCAATGCGCCTTGCACCAGCCGTTGCCCCCCTTTCCCCTGTGTTTTAATATTGTATTGTTTTTCTTTTGAATAAATAAACCTTTAAAAAAAGAATTCCAAGCACTGTAGTTTGTTAAGGGTTGCTGGGAATTGTAAGTCTGTGGGGGTTAAACTACAACTCCCAGAATTCTTTGTGTTTTGAATGTGCTTCAAAGATATAGGGTATACACAGCCTTAAGTCTGTGATTCTGGCCCTCCTGGTGAGATCCGTCTTGACTTTGGGGGCTATAGCTCAGTGGTAGAGCAGGTGTCTTGCATGCAGAAGGACCCGGGTTCAACGCAAACCATCTCCTCATTGCCCTGATTCTGGAGTACCTAAAATAATGCATCTGTTCCATGTGCAGAGTGGCTCTCTTACCACAGCAAGATCCCCAAAACCTGGGAAGGTTTCTCTGCTCCCCACGCATAACTCTTAAAACAGCAACACCCCAAAACAAGCCACATCGTCCACCCCATACCCCATGTCCCACCCCACATCCCTCCTCCCACAACTCAAGCTCCTCCCTCTCTCAGCTTGCCCCTCCTCCAAGCCTCACCGTGTCTCTCATAATAGACAGGAACGTCCTCTTGAAGAGGATGCAGAATTGGGTCATGGTACTGGTGGCAAAAGTATGGCTCTCGATGTGGTCCAAATCCTGAGAGTGACACAGGGCCAAAACAAGAGAAAGGGGGTGGGGAAAAGTAGGTTAGTGGAACTGTCATGATTTGGGTGGTGAATATGTGTGGTTTTTATCATTGTTTATTTTATTAGCCTGCCTTTCCACCAAACTGAAATGCAAGGCGGTCCAGAAAAAGTAAAAACTAACACAGAAATAAGTGATATACATCAGAGTCACCTCTGAGTGTCGGAGATGCACACCCATCCTGCACTAGGAACCAGGCTTTTAGTGTTGCAGCTCCAGCTCTCTGGAATCAGTTGCTAGCCCATATCAAAAAGGCGCCTAGTATCATGATGCCTTAGGTGCTTACTGAATTTTTTTAATTCTTTATTTTTGCTTAGGATGGCTTTCCCAGTCTTTATGGGCGATCCAATTTACATCTGAGGAAATTGCCTGGCAGTTTTTAGAGTTTGCACGGGTGGTTTTATTGTTTTCAAGTTTGTGTTTCCGTGTTTTGTCCTGTTTTTAGCCATGCGCCCTGCTTCAATGGCTTAATGCTTTGAAGCGTTCCATAAATTAGTTTACTAAATAAAATAAATAAATAAATAAATAGGAAAGTAAATAAGTAGATAAATAAAAAACTAAGTAAGTAAGTAAGTAAGTAAGTAAGTAAGTAAATATTACTAATGGCAAATTCGATTCTCTGTAGATTTTATTGTTATTGTTATTTCGGCTATGTGCCCTTCACCAGCATGCGTATTGCTGCTAATGATGGTGCTCTGATGTGGAGAGAGGAATGGGGAAAAGTCCCTAGGTCTGAGTGTATACTGGAATTCTTGAGTCATAAAACAAGCAGCCAGAGCCAACCCCGTTCCCTGCCTCGCCCCAGCTTACTGCCACGCAGTGCCCTGGGCAAGAAGAATCTGCTTTGGTTGGACTGCTCTTCTTCTCCTCCATGGCACAGAGCCCATTCTGGACCGCTTGGAACAGTAGTGGGTTTAGGTCACCGTATTCTCCCGAGGCAACTTCGATAACTGCAAAGGAGAAAGCAGCGGCTTTCAGAAAACCTTGTTTATCGAGCAATTTATCCTGATCTGTTTGCACAACCTTTGCAGGGAAGTCAGGCAACTGTTGGCTATTTGCTAAGCAATCATTCTGAATGGCTTGCAGGGAATTTATACGCTGTTGTGTGAAGGGAGGCTTATCACTTTCCGGTTCATTTTGCGCATCACTTTCCTTACTGCAAGAAGTCAGATTTTGGGTGGAGGGAGGAAAGGAGGTCAGAGAGAGGTGTGTGTGAAGCCAGCCTGCTGCACAAAGGTAAAATGAATGCTCATTGCTACACCCACATTTGCCTCTGGACCTTCCTACCACTGGCTTGTGGCCTTCAGAAGAAAATGCAGCCCTCGGGCTCCATTAATTTGTCTATTTATTTTTTTAAAGCCATCACTTACTGAAATCAGCTGGGTTGTGGTAGGTGGGGCAATGCAAGCCCAGCCCTTTCAGGTATGGGATGAGGTTGGGCACCGCTCCTTTGAAGATGCACTGACCTTGGCTCAGGATATAAAGCTGGAAGAAAGAGAGAGTGAAAGAAGAAAAGAAAAACACTTATGAGGATTAACATATTGGGACGGCGCTATCATTGAGCAGAGTGAGGCGGCCACCTCAGACAGCTGAGTGTCATGAAAGGGCAGCAAATACCCTATTTTTCGCTCTATAAGATGCACCAGATCACAAGACGCACCTAGTTTTTGGAGGAGGAAAACAAGAAAAAAAATATTCTGAATCTCAGAAGCCAGAACAGCAAAAGGGATAGTTGCGCATTGAAAGCAGCAATCCCTCTTGCTGTTCTGGCTTTTGGGATAGCTGTGCAGCCTGCATTCGCTCCATAAGACACACACACATTTCCCCTTACTTTTTAGGAGGGAAAAAGTGAGTCTTATAGAGCAAAAAATACAATAGTTAATTCTTTAATTTATTCTTCTTGTCTTTTTACTCCCAGGGAGAAGCGCTTGTGGGATGTTTGGGATCACATGCCAAAACGGCTTGGCTGGCCTTGGGTTATGCGCACCTCGAGATGTGGTGTCGGGTGCGCCATTTGCCATTCTGACTCACACAGCTGGCAAGGCTGTGTGTATGCCACAATTCAGAGAAAGCAAAATGTGGTAGCAACTTCCTGAACACCTCAGCTTTCTTTCCTTGTCGTCAACCAGGCGTCTAGGCCTTTTGGCTGAGGATATACCCCTCAGTCAGAAGCCAGTCAGAAGCGGCTCAATGAGATATTCCAGGGTTGGGGACAGAGTAACAGTGTCCTCGTCTATCCCTCCTGTGACTTGGCAAAAAACAGTGCAAAACTGCAGAACAAATCCTGCAACTTTTGGGAAATTATGCTCGACTTGCATCATTTTCCGCAGGGCACACAAATTCCCTTTCTCCCTGGCACCAAATTTTGCTTGGCTGTGCACAGAATTCTGTTCTTTTTAGACTGCATTGCCCTGACTGATGGGGGCACAGAGGATAAAAAAACAAACAAAATGGAGGCAGCTTTGGTGAGAGTATGGACAGGCCGCAAAGGATCCTAAAGCCTGCCTCTCCAATCAGGAACAGTGCAGTACAGCATGGGCTCTGAGACCCCCTGCACACACCCCTGAGCCACAATGGCACCAGTAGCGCCACACCAGGTTGCAATCTGTATCCTGCTGAATTTACTGAGCCACAGCAATATCCCGGTTCAGAGGCAGATGGTGCACAAAGACCCTCACCTTATCAAACTTTTCAAAGAGCTTCGCGCTGGGCTGGTGGATGGTGCAGATGATGGTGCGACCGCCCTGGGCCAGTGATTTCAACAGCGAGACCACCTGGAAGCAGGAGGAACTATCCAGTCCGCTGCAGAGCCAGGGAAAGAGAGAAAATGCTGGAGTGAATGACGGCAGAAGGAGGAGAATGGAGAGTAGCCTGGTTTGCACGACACAGTAAGCCAAACTATGGTTTACCAGCTGTGTGCAAACACATCATGGCACCCGTGAAGGCTTCAAGTGGGGACTCTGGGCAGATGCCCCAAACTCTGAGCTTTCATTTTTTAAAAAGAAAATAAGTCTCCAGCCCTCCTGGAAAGAAAGGTGTGTGTGTGTGTGTGTGTGTGTGTGTGTGTGTGTAGAAATGTGCAGGTACCTTCTGAGTGGTTTCTGTTAAAGAAGAGTTTGGATTTGATATCCCACTTTATCATTACCTGAAGGAGTCTCAAAGCGGCTAACATTCTCCTTTCCCTTCCACCCCCACAACAAACACTCTGTGAGGTGAGTGGGGCTGAGAGACTTCAGAGAAGTGTGACCAGCCCAGGGTCACCCAGCAGCTGCATGTGGAGGAGTGGGGAATTGAACCCTGTTCACCAGATTACGAGTCTATCGCTCTTAACCACTACACCACTGGCTCTACACCACACTGAGAGTGGTGTGTCTACCCTGTGTGTTTTCCCTGGTACTGAGGAATGCTCCCTGTTGTTATTAGAAGGCAACAGCATCAGTATGTGTGTTTTCTCTCCATGATCAGTACCAGCATGGCATAGCTGAAGTTGTTTTTTGGGGACAGTACCCCTTATTCCCCTGGCAGAGCTACAATTGGTTTAACAATCAATCCCTCTTCACGGGTAACTCTGGGAATTGGAGCTCTGGGAAAGGAGGTGGGGGTCTCCTAACAACTCTTAGCATCCGTAACAAACTACAGCTCCCAGAATTCTCCCAGAATTCTCCCCCCCAATTTTTTTATTAGGTTTTCCACAATTATAACAAATATCACAAAACAGAATAACAAACAAAAACAAATACAAATGACAAAAAAGTACATCAAAGAAGAAAACAATAAGCAGATAAACAATAAAAACAAACTTAATTCTTTAAAAATCCAACCTTATAAACATATTAATAGACTTCTTTGGGGGAAGAAGCCATGGCTATTTAAAGGGGCACTACACTGCTTTAGGTGTATGGTGTGAATGCGGCCTAAGGAGGAGGCGGCAGACAGAAATGGTTGAAAGTAAGAAGGCAGGTGGGCTTGGAGGAATCAAGACCGAGATTGGGGCCTGAGTGCCATAGTGGGCTAGCCTCCATTTGCCCCATCATGGGCTGTTCTTTGGGTGGCGATTTCTCTCTCCCTCCCTCCCCGCCTTCTGGGCTGCGGGGCACCTAGACTTCACCCCCAGGTTCCAGCCTTAAATGCACCATTGCTTGCCCAGTGGGGAGCCTCCTCCTCCCATTGCCTCCTGCCCTCACCCCCAGAATTGACACCGAGGCTGAATGAGGTCCATGGAATCTCTGCAACATCCACTGGATGCTAACTGAGTCCTGCTGCCTTTCCCCAGGTGGCGTTCAAGGGATAGGGAAACCTGGAAACACCTTGGCATCTTACCTGGTGGGTTCGTCGAAAAACATGACCGGGGGATTGTTGACCAGCTCCAGGGCGATGGCAAGGCGCTTGCGCTGCCCTCCGGACAGGGACATCGTGCGGGTATAAGAACATTCCAGAAGACTCAGAGCTGTCAGGATCTCGTCCACCTGGACCCCACGGAGGGAGGGAGGGGGAAATGGACAGGTTTAGTTGCCATAGGCAGCCCGAAATGTGGGCTCTTGCCATCATGACTTGATGAGGCCCAGCGTGTGTGTGTGTGTGGGGATCACACACAGCTCTCGGTTTTCAAGTGTGGGAAATACGCAAACTCACCAGCTCCTTCTTGACTTCCTGCTTCTCGTTCAACTTCAGGTTGGCAGAAACCTGAGGAGGGAAGTGAAAATGGCGGAAATGACTGGCAGAATCCGAGACCAGGGAGAAGAGTCGGTGGAAGAAGATTGGAGGAAATTTGAAATTTAAAATTTATTTACAGAAACATTGTAAAATTTTTGAATGTTGATGACATTGAAATGAAATGAAGGGGTTCTAGCAACAAGGTAAAATGTAAGATTGGATTGAAAATAGATGAAAATTCGAAGCTATGGTATGTCAGGAAAAATAATTAAGGATAAATTAATAGGATATGAATTTGCTGAACCAATTTTTTAAAAAAGGGATACAAAAAAGGGAGGCGTGAGGAAGTCAGGAAAATAAGTTAATCAAAGATGAGAAATTAAAAAAGAGGGATTTTTGTTTGTTGTGTACTTTTTTTCTTCTTTTTCTTTTCTAGGTTAAAGGTTTGTATTTTTGTATTTTGTAACCTTGTATTTTTGTGTTTTTATATTTTTCTTGTGTTTGTATTCTTACTCTTTTTTGTGTTTGTTGTTCTGGAATTTTTATTGTTAAACTTAATAAAATATTATTATTATTATTATTATTATTATTAATAATAATGAAAATGTTCTTCTTAGGAAGTGATCTGAGCATGTTAATGCGCACCCAACAGCCTAATGAAGTCTAGTTTGCTGGGGTTCCTGCAAATGGTCGTTGGCATGAGTAAAAACAGGTCATTGGATGTCGGGTGACTGAAAAGCCGGTGTCCCTGTCCACCTGTGGATGTGAGGGGGGAGGAATCCCTTCTACCACCACCCCTGGAGTTTCACATGCTCAAATGAGAGCAGCTAGCTTCAGGAGAGCCCAGGTCAGGGCCAGATTTAGGTTTGATGAGGCCCTACGCTACTGAAGGTAATGGGACCCTTTATATGTCCAGCTGTCCTTTGTCAACAACAAATTGTCGCTGTTTTTTGTGTTAAATATATGCTATATGGTAATTTATGGACCTAATAGGTATCTAAAGCCATTTGCACATGTAGAATGTAGGCACCCTATATATAGAAATGAGCAAGCCAATGATATTTTAGGGAGCAGGCTAGCAGGAGGGGCCCATGACTTACATCATAGGAGCCTACACAACACAAAACACTGTTGCTGTATGTAGGTTTTATTTCATTTGTTTTTTATCTTATATTTTGGAAATGTACATCCAGGTGTTTTTTCTTGAATATTTTGGTGGCCCCCAAGAGAATGGGGCCCTAAGCTATAGCTTATTTAGCTTATACATAAATCCGGCACTGGCTCAGGTTTAAAAAAATAAGAACTGCCATAACTGCACCAGAGACAGAGCTGAGCTACATGAGAAATCAAAAGCACATGGTGTTTTCCTGAACTGTGGAAGCATCATATCTTTCAGGGATTCTCCCACATGAAGTAAATAAAAAAAACATCTTCCCATACTCAAAGTGGACGGTTCTAAACAGGCTTTCTCCCTGATGCAAGAGATGGCCGAACCAGTTTCTAACCCCTGTCAGTCTTGTATGTGTTTATTCAAAAGTTTATTCCGTATTAATTTGCATATTCAATTTTTTTGGATGAAAATTCATTTATAAATAAGTATTTTAACAGCAAGAGATACATTTAGAAACATAAAGCAGGCATTTATAAGACGTATTTCTTGTTTTCCGTCAAGAACTGTATCACTTTTTTTAAAAAAAGCAAAACCTGAAGTATAATGGCATTCTGATCTGTAGCTTACCCCAGGAGAAGCACATTAGGCGACTTTGCTTTGAAATTCACAGAAATCAAATTCCTGACAGAGCCTACTCTGAGGCACAGACAGTGACTGTTTGCTTAAATATGGTGCAAAACACTTACACATTCCACCACAGAACCATGATCCCGTTTACAAAATACAATGTTTAAAAACAATAAAACTGCAGTCCTCTGCAGTTTGAGGAGGAATGAGTCAGGAGGTGGTGTACCAATAGGATCCTGACAATAATCTTCTCTCAGGCTATAAGCTCCATAATGTGGAATCCGTGAGGTGAAGTGGGTTGGGAAGAGAGCCTTTGCTGTGGCCACCAGGGCGTGATTCTCTTCCATCTTGACCTCTGCACACCTCTGGAAATCCAGATTCCTCCTAGGTTTCTCCTGGCACAACCCTCCACCCCCACACTATCACCCAAATGTTTCCAGGCCCCGTTTCTCCCCTGCTCACCATCATAGCCTCGCGCACGGTGAGATGCGGCAAGAGCATGTCGTCCTGCATGATGTAGCAAGACATCTTCCGGAAGGTGCGCAGCTCCCTCTGCCGCCCATTCACGAGGATCTGCCCCTTCATGCCCGTCTCCCTGTAAACGACCAAACAGTGACCTGGGATGTTGGGAGTTGTGCTTTGGCAACATCTGGAAATCCAGAGGCTCACTGCCACTTGAGCTACGTACATGGAGCTGGAAAGCCTGCATTGATCTCAGCGTTCCCAGCTTGAAGGAAGGGAGAGGTCAAGGATTGGGATAGATCTAGATGGGTTTTCCCCAGCCTTGCATTCTCTCTTGAGAGCTGGCGCCAACAGTCGACATGGTTGGGCATTTGCCAATGACCCACACTCAAATAGGGGCCACACTGACAAGACCCACTACAGTGAAGATGTGGGGGGGGGGTCAGTGTTGGAGGAGGTCCGTTAAGGGTAAATTGGCCAGGGTCCTTTAAAATGTGGAGCCGTCGCTCACTCCAGTCACCCCAAACCATTGGCTACGCTGGCTGAGGATCCGCCTACTGGTCAAATTTGGCCCGTGACGGGCAGGTCAGATATAGGCAAAATAGTCTCCCACCCTGTTCTGGAAAAGACGATCCGTGTTCATCACGTGACATAAAACAACATGTGATATATGCTCATTACAGGACATAAACCTGACAATGCAACAACAGTGAAACCAGGAGCTGTAAAGATCCCAATCCTTTCAGGTAAAAGCATGCCTCTCTCTGAGGAAAGGGCATTGGCTCACCGGTAACCAGCCAGGAGGTTCATGAGGGTTGATTTCCCAGCTCCGGAAGGGCCCATGATCCCGATAAGCTCGCGGCGGCAAAACTTCCCAGACAGACATTTCAGCAGCGTCTTGTATCCTGGAAAAGAGGGAGGAAGGTGGGCAAGTTGTGAGGGCTGCCCCATAAGTCAGAGAGCAGGAGTGGGGAACCTGAGGGCCACCCAGTGCTGTGGGACTCCATCTCCCCCCAAGCTCCAGCCAACACGAAGGGAGCTGGTGTCCAACAACATGCAGGGAAGACCTCAAGTTCCCCACCCATGTCTGAGAGACAGAGGAGGACACACTTGTTAGCATTTGGCGCATAATTTGGGATTGAGCAAGTTATGTGGCCTCAGACCTCCTTTACTGAGTGACATCATTACAGTGGTACCTCTGGTTGCGAACGGGATCCGTTCTGGAGGCCTGTTCACAACATGAAAGGAACGCAACCCGCAGCGGCGCGTCTGTGCACGCACAGGTTGCGATTCGCTGCTTCTGCGCATGCGCGTGGTGTCATTTTGCACATCTGCGCATGCGCGAGTGCCGAAACCCGGAAGTAACCCTTTCCAGTACTTCCGGGTTGTCACGGGACGCAACCTGAAAAAACGTAACATGAAGCAAACGTAACATGAGGTATGACTGTACACTCCATGGATGGGACTCGCATGGCGCTGTGGTCTAAACCACACAAGGTCGGCAGTTCAAATCCCCACAATGGGGTGAGCTCCCATTGCTCTGTCCCAGCTTCAGCCAACCTGGCAGTTTGAAAGCACACCAGTGCAAGTAGATAGTTACCGCTGTGATTCGCATTTAATCCTCACAACAACTTTGTGAGGTAGGTTAGATTAAGAATGGTGGTGACTGGTTGCCCAGTGAGCTTTTTAGCCGAGTGGGAATTTGAACCCTAGTTTCCCAGGTCCTCATCTGACATTCTAACCACTGCACTCACAATGGCTAAGCCTGGTTGCTAAGAGGGAGCCTCGAGAAAGTGTGAGGCAGTGATAAGCAGGAATACCTTTTAAGCTTCCGATTTCCTGCTCAAACTAATAACTAGCAGAAACCATGCCCCAGTCACCACCTCATCCCAGCTCTGCATAAATGAAGACGTACAATGACATTCTTTGCCAGCGCTATTGAGAAAGAGTTTAAAAAGAGGGAGGGAGCAAGATCTATGTCGCGAGGATCAGCGTCTGCCTCCAGCTTTGTCTGTTCTTGCCAAATTTGCTCATGATTCTCGACTCCTGCAACCCTTCGCCCCACTAATCTCCTGGTATGTGCTTTATCGGAAGATGGACAGGCCATGCACAGATCCCATCAACCAAATAGCTGCCTCCCTGTCAGCAGATGGGACAAGAAGCAGAATCTATTGGGAAAGCAAGCTGGAGGGAACCACAAGGCGTTTTGGGAAAGGGGTGGGGGGTGAGGCAGAGTTTTCAAAAGTTCGGAGTTCAGAAGGCGTGTGTGTTGGGGCAACTCTGTGAGAACTCGGGGCCGTCCAAAGAAGCTGAATGTGGGAAGATTTAGGACAGATTAAAAAAAGGACTTCTTCACACAGCACGGAGTTAAGCTACAGAACTCCCTTACCCACAGGAGGCAGCGGTTAGGGCCAGGCAATATCTGGTTTTCAACATCACAGTATATCACCAGCTAAACATTGCGATATACCGTATTTTTCGCCCCATAGGGGGCACCGGCCCATAGGGCGCACCTAGTTTTTTGGGGGGAAATACAGAAAAAAAATATTCCCCCCCCCAGGTGCGGGGCTGGGCAGCCCCCAGCCCCCACAGCAGGCTGCTATCCGCAAGCCTTGGGAGAGCTGCGCGACATCGCGCCGGGCTCCCACGGCTTGCGGATAGCTTCCTGAAGCCTGGAGAGCAAGACCCCTCTCGCTCTCCAGGCTTCAGCAAAAGCCTGCATTCGCCCCATAGGACCCACACACATTTCCCCTTCATTTTTGGAGGGGGAAAAGTGAGTCCTATAGGGCAAAAAATACGGTACTGATATATCGCAACATCTGAAGTAAGGGTGGAGCTATGTAGAGGCATTGGCTGGCTTCACGGTTTCCCCCACATTGTGATTTATGCGCAGCACACAAAAATCATGATTCACAATATTTTGCCAGGTCAAAAATTATAAAACCAATATCATGATATGGACTTGAAACTAGTTTTGGACGATATATCACCCAGCCCTAACACACACCACGATTCGCAATATATTGCCAGGTCAAAAACTATGAAACCAATATCACGGTATGGACTTCAAACCGGTTTGGGATGATATATTGATATATCACCCAACCCTAGCAGCGGTTGCCACTAACTTGGATGGCTTTAAAAGAGGATGAGACAAATTTGAGGAGAAGAGGGCTATAGATGGTTTCTAGCCACCATGGCTATGCGCTGCCTCCATGATCAGAGGCAGTCATGCTTCTGAATGCCAGTTGCTGGAAACCACAGGAGAGGGAAATGGTCTTGTGTTCAAATCCTGTTTGCAGTCTTCCCACAGGTATCTGGGTAGCCCCTGTGAGAACAGGATGCTGGACTATGTGTTAAGTTGTGGGTGAACATATCAGACGACACAGCAATTCTTCGAACAGCTCTTGTTTATTCACAGGCCAGAACAGAACTGAACTGAAGGGTTCAGTCAGCCTGCTTATATAGAGCTCCAGTACAGTGGTACCTCGCAAAACGAATGCCTCGCAAGTCAAAAAACTCGCTAGACGAAAGGGTTTTTTGTTTTTTGAGCTACTTCGCAAGACGATTTTCCCTACGTCTTGCAAGTTTGTTTCCTTTTTCTTAACACCGTTAATACAGTTGCGACTTGACTTCGAGGAGCAACTCATAGATAATAATAATAATAATAATAATAATAATAATAATAATAATAATAATAATATCTTTATTGTCATTGCCCCCTCTCGGGGACAACGAAATTACTTGGCTGCTCCATCCACCCAGGATGTAGAACGTGGTGTGGTAGCTTTTTTTGAGGTTTTTAAAGACTTTGGTGATTTTTGAAGCTTTTCCAAAACTTTCCCAACACCGTGCTTCGCAAGACGAAAAAAATCGCAAGACGGCAAAACTCGCGGAACGAATTAATTTCGTCTTGCGAGGCACCACTGTACAACGTAACTGTAACAATTTTCTAAAACTATCCAATCACTGAACGTCACTTTCGATCCCTTATTTGCATAACTATCTACAGTATCCCCCTGCTGGCCCAGGGTGAGAACTTCAGTACATAACACTAAGATGGGCCACTGGCCAAACCCAGCAGGACTTTTCTTATGTTCTTAGTCCCAAGCAAAGCTCCTTTGCACCACCACCACCAGATTCTTGGGTAGGGGACATGTCCCTTTCCTCACCCCTCCTCTGTTTTAGTCCCTGTGCTTTTAAGCACCTGCCTAACAGGGATGCAGGAATTCAGCCCATGGTGTCATTCTCCAAACATGATAGGAAGCTGCCTTATACCGAGTCAGGCCTTTGGTTCATCTAGCTTAGTATTGGCTGCACTAACAGGCAGCAGCCTCCAGGGTTTCAGGCAAGGACTTTCCCAGTCCTGCATGGAGATGCTGAGTGTTATGTACTGAAGTTCTTACCCTGGGCCAGATGGCGAGGCTCCACCTACACCTCTCTCACAAGCTGCAGGTGTGGAGCTGAACCAAGCCGCTTCAGAGGGTCTGCCGGACTTCCCACAGACTCAGACCACTGCCATGCCTGACATTCTGCCAACTCCACTCGCAGAGGTTCCACCCACAGCAGCGGATCCAGGGGACTTGGTTTCAACGCCACCCAGGGTTGCACTACAGCCTCGGGAAGAATCGGGCAGCCCCCCAGACCTGGTGGTCTGGCAGAGTTTCCAAACGCCCAACTTATTTAAATGACTATGTTGTTGGACATGTAATACTGTCAGTCTAATGGAAGTAGGTGAAATGTAACCGATATGCTTTTGTGTCTAATTGAACCATTACGTGTAGTGCTGTATATAAGGAAACCATTACGATTGTAACTAACGCCTTATCTCAGTGGGAAGGGGTGTTATGTACTGAATTTCTCACCCTGGGCCAGCAGGGGGATACTGTAGATAGTTTTCACTCAGGTCCACATATGCAAATAAGGGATCGAAAGCGACGTTCAGTGATTGGATAGTTACAGAAAGTGGTTACTGTTGCGTTGTAGTGGGGCTCTATATAAGCAGGCTGGCTGAACCCTTCAGTTCAGTTCTGTTCTGGCCTGTGAATAAACAAGAGCTGTTTGAAGAATCGCTGTGTCGTCTGATATGTTCGCCCACAACTTAACACTGAGGATTGAACCCGGGGCTTTCTGCATGAGCAAGTGCTTCAGACCTTTCCACCATTGCATCCTCTCCTTACTCTGAGGAAAGCTTTACCTGTTGAACTGCTGCTGGCAAAGCAGCTGCTGCCTGGAAGCATTCTCAGCACAGGAATTCCTTGGGATTAACGGAGGCTGCATGCACACCACACGCCAAATAAATTTGCATAACTATTATTATTATTATTATTGGCGCACATGGCTTCCCCAAAGACTTCTGGGAGCTATATAGTTTACCCCTCACAGACCTACAATTCCTAGCACCCTTAGGCTACCGTTTCCCAGCTCCTTTGCAGAAAACCACTTGCTTTAAATGAACCCTAGCTTTAAAATCAAATTCAAAATTTAAATGTAGAGTGTGTCCACAGCCTAGCTCAGAAGACAAAGGTGTGATCTTTGGTACAGGGAGTAAGGGAACGCACGTTGGTTCCTAGTCTAGTTCATCAACCGCTCCTTCCTGTCTTGAAGCAGTCCAGACCAGGCCTAGCGAGGAGGTGTGCAGCGCTTCAGGGAACGCCCAGCCCCTAAGCGGAGAACTTGAATCAATTTTGGATGCTTTGCTGAGTTCCAGGAAGGGAGCCGAGGTCAGCAGGGCCCATCTCCCTCCCGCAGACGGACCGGCAGACTTTGGCAGAATTTCAAGATGACCTGATTCTTACTGGCAACTGCTGTGATGCCAACCACAATATGGAAAGCAAAACAGGGGGATGGATGAGCCAGACAGAGCAAGCAGCTGGAACACAGGGAAGCTGCCTTGTACTGAGTC